ATGTCAGTATTTGGAGTTAACTAGCTGGAAGCTGAGTATTTAGAACAGTTCTGTAGATGGGCATAGCTCCTTAGAAGATTTCTGGTGTAGGGTGTCATGGGAGTCAGAAGTGAACAAAACTAGAATCTGTGGAATAGAGAAATAATATATACAGACTGTTAGTTAGAAATTAGAATGAAATAGTATATTCTGTTAGTATCTGTATATTTAACTGATGTTTTATAAGTTGGTAATGTGTGTTACATAAGTAGATTTTTGGTTATACAACATTATTGAGATATCATGTTGTAAAGATAGATTCTTAGTTATACTAACCTTTGAACAGAGAAACTTGTCACATGAGTAAGCTAATGCAAAATTGTCATCTTTATCCACTTTCCAACGGTGCTATAGCTGAATGACGGCTACAGCACAGTTGTGCAGTTCTGGGAGGGCGTTACATGACATCGTAACAGAACGCACCCTCCTGTGTGCCCCCAGCGGCATGCCCCCGGTGATCTCCATGTACTACGGACACAGCTGATCACGTGATGTGGTAAAAGGCCAATCACAGCGGTCTTTTACCTTGTGATCAGCTGAGTCCAATGACACAGCAGATCACTGGGTAAATGCAGTTCCCGGTTATCGGCTGCGCTTTCCTCAGTCACAGCGTGAGGAAAGTACTGCTGGTAACCATCAGAAAACAGATCAGTACTTATCGGTGCCCTGATGATCATTTTGTGGGTGAGCAGTGGCTGTGGGCAAAGTGCCCTGATCTTGCATTGCTTTCTATTTCGGGGGGTGAACACACCTTAGCCGCCCCCCATCGGTCCAGGGAGAGAAGAGAGAGCACGGCACTGAGTAAAAGCATACAATAGATTAGCACATTTAACCCTTTCATCACCCCTGTCACCCAGCCAGTGCCCTTAGTACAGTGTCAGTATATAGAATTTTCACTGATCACTATATTACTGCCACTAGCGTCAGCTAGCATTGCCCGTACAAAATCGCACTCGCGCTATAGGTCGCTGATCACCCCCATTACTAGTATAGTGTTTGTACGGATCAATATATTGATCATGAACAGAACTATACTAGTGCCTGCTTTGTATAGTGTTCCCAAAAATGCAGAGTTAGCAGGATCGGCCCTGTTTGCTGCCAGAACTAGTGTTTAGCCCTGTGCTGTTTTTCATGGAAGATTTGTACCAATTGACTGTGGGCCAAAGCAATTTATATGCACAACAATACATGGCCGCCCACCCAAATTCAGCTCTTCCCAGACATTTGCATGGAAACCTATCACGGTTTCTGAATGTAAAACTGATCAGTGCTCAGCAGTGCCACCCACCTGTGCCTATCATCAGTGCCTCCCAGCAGTGCCACCCATTAGTGCCCAGCTGTGCCGCCAGTCAGTTTTGTTTATAGCACCAAAAATAAAACATCCAGCTGTGATTAAATACCACCAAAAGAAAGCTCTATTTTTGTGAAAAATAAAATTTTCATATGGGCACAGTGCTGCAATTGTCATTCAAAGTGCGGCAGTGATGAAAGCTGAAAATTGGCCTGGGCAGGAAGGGGGTATAAGTGCCCGGTAGGCGAGTGGTTAACTTGTGAAGTCACATTTTTGATCAAGAATAGTTCTGCATATGGGCTTGACAATCAAAAGGATATGTAGTATCCCCTCCCTTCTATGAAATCATCGTACTAAGAATTGTTTGCCATACAAGGTTGTGAGTTATGACGTTTACATGTAACATAAAGACATCCTAATGCAGGCCATAGATGGGGAGAAAAACGGCAGATTTTTCTTTTAAAAAACAAAAATTCGGTCGTTCAAGCGGCCGACGTTACCATCAATGGTAAAAAAAATCGGCCGATTTTCATCCCTTCTACAGCCGGCAAAAAGTGTCCCTGCAGAGAGCTCCGCTATTTCTGACAGTTCTCTGACAGTTCCTTCACATTTACAGCGGTTGAAACATTGTATCTATTTGTTTCCATTTAGGATACAGATGTTTTTATTCGGAAACAAATAGATACATTGTTGCAACCGCTGTAAATGTCAAAGAACTGTCAGAGAACTGTCAGAAATAGTGGAGCTCTCTGCAGAGACACTTTTTGCTGGACTGGAATTCTTCTTATTTTCATCCTTCTTCATCATCCTCTTCTTCTTCTTCTTCTTCTTCTTCTTCATCCTCATCCTCTTCTTCATCCTCTCCCCTTCTTCTTCTTCATCCTCATCCTCTTCTTTTTCATCCTCCTCCTCCTCCTCCTCCTCCTCATCCTCCTCCTCTTCTTCTTCATCCTCATCCTCATCCTCTTCTTCTTCATCCTCATCCTCATCCTCTTCGTCCTCGTCCTCGTCTCTTCTTCTTCATCCTCATCCTCTTCCTCATCCTCTTCTTCTTCTTCATCCTCATCCTCATCCTCTTCTTCTTCTTCTTCTTCTTCTTCTTCATCCTCTTCTTCCTCTTCTTCACGTCTTCTCATCCTCATCCCCTTCTTCTTCATCCTCATCCCCTTCTTCTTTTTCATCCTCATCCTCTTCTCCTCCTCCTCCTTTTTCCTCATCCTCCTCCTCCTCATCCTCCTCCTCTTCTTCTCATCCTCATCCTCTTCTTCTTCATCCTCATCCTCATCCTCCTCCTCCTCCCTCGTCCTCTTCTTCTTCATCCTCATCCTCTTCCTCATCCTCTTCTTCTTCTTCTTCCTCATCCTCATCCTCTTCTTCATCATCATCCTCATCCTCTTCTTCTTCCTCATCTTCTTCATCCTCATCCTCATCCTCATCCTCATCCTCTTCTTCTTCTTCATCTCATCCTCTTCTTCATCCTCTTCTTCTTTTTCTTCTTCCTTTCCTCTTCCTCTTCCAGGTTCATCCTCTTCTCATCCGCATCCTCATTTTTCTTCTTCTTCCTCTTCTTCTTCTTCTTCATCCCCTTCTTCATCCTCTTCATCCTCTTCTTCTTTTTCTTCTTTTTGTCTTCCTCTTGCAGGTCACTGCGCAAAATCGGCCAATTTTTTTTCCAACTTTACAGAAAAAAAAAAACGGCCAAAATACCGAAAAACGGCCGACCAAATAGCCCACTAACGATCCGAAAATCGGCCGATTTTATTTTCGGCCGAAAAATCGGCCGATTTTCGACCCATCTATGGCCTGCATAAGAGATGGAAAGGGTCACAAACACATACATCCAGGTGTCTGTCCATTCATACACAGACAGACACTCACAAGCAAGGAATGAAGACACATTTGTATGGTTAGTCACATACTGACAAGCTTAATTGCTTCCTGCCTGCAATGTATTGGGGCCGGGCGGCAGCTACAGGCAAGGCAACCTACAGATACATTGCTCTGGCTATACTAGCACGGGGGGGGGCTGCACTCCCCACCCATGACTGCTGTGTCCAGCAAACGCAGTGGAATGAATATCCCAGTGAATGGGACTCTGTGATCATGTGATCGCTATGCGATCACATGATCACAACGTTAGCAAAGCTGTTTTGAATCTGATTCATAACAGCTCTTCTCTTCCTAGTGAGCTGTGATTCGCCCAAAGCTGTCACATGGGACCAATCACAGCACCATGTACCATGTGACCAGTTCCAGCCAATCACAGATCACTATCTTGAGCTGTCAAAAACCTAACTCATCCACGACCGTTCATGAATGAGGTAGGTTATGACAGCAAGCTTTGCATTGCAGGTGAAATGATCTTTGTCCTGCAAAGCAAAGTGTAAAAAAAAAAATATAATCCCTGATTACCCCCCCCCCCCCCCCCCCCACACACACACATACACACACAGAAGTACAATGTTGCTATGGTAACATTGTACTATTCTGATATTATTAAAAATAAATAATTAAAAAAATAAAATATAAAAAATACTGTATTGAGAATTTTAAAAAAACATTTGTTAAGGGTTTTGTTTAACTACTTGCTGACTGCTTACCCGCATTTTGTGGGTGAGCAGTGGCTCTGGGCAAAGTGACATGATCTTGCATTGCTTTCTATTTCGGGGGGGGGTGAACACACCTGAGCCCCCCCACCCCCTGTCGGTCCAGGGAGAAAGAGAGAGAGCAGGGCACTGAGTAAAAGCATACCATAGATTAGCACATTCAACCCTTTGATCATCCCTATTAACCCTTTCATCACCCTGTCACCCAGCCAGTGCCCTTAGTACAGTGTCAGTATATAGAATTTTTCACTGATCACTGTATTACTACCACTAGCATCAGCTAGCATTGCCCGCATTGCCCGCGCTATAGGTCGCTGATCACCCCTATTACTAGTATAGGGTTTGTACAGATCAATATATTGATCATGAACAGAACTATACTAGTGCCTGCTTTGTATAGTGTTCCCAAAAATGCAGAGTTAGCAGGATCGGCCCTGTTTGCTGCCAGCACTAGTGTTTAGCCCCCCACTGTTTTTCATGGAAGATTTGTATCAATTGACTGTGGGCCAAAGCAATTTATATGCACAACAATACATGGCTGCCCATCCAAATTCAGCTCTTCCCAGACAATTTGCATGGAAACCTATCACGGTTTCTGAATGTAAAACTTTTTTTGGGCCTAACACTCAACATGGGCATTACAGAAAAGAATGAATTGTGGTCATATTGATCCACAGAGCCAATTCATTGTATGCCTGTGTTATACAGGCATCATCCTGGTATTTTTTTTCAGCTGGTAGTCAGCTTTCATGTAAAAGCAATCCTAGTGGCCAATTAACTGCTGAATCATTTTTACAAGCAGTGGGAAGGAATATTCCCCCCTCCTGTCGCCTTCCAGTTTTCTTCGGTTCTCCTGTCCCACAGGGGAATCTGAGAATGCAGCCGGAAGTTCTGCTGGCTGACCATAGAGTTGATCAGAGACAGAATGGCTCCAATCATCTCTATAGTCTAAAACCAGAAGCTTCGAGCATTTAATCATTTCCTTTTCTCCTGACTTTAACAGCGCCATTTTTAAATCGGAAAAGTATCTGATTACATTGATCTCGGTGTGATCAGATGCTTTAAGCGCAGATTTTTTTTTTTATTGAAATGGTTATGACTTACCAGTACTTAAAATCCTTCAAAATCCTCATGTTCATCCTCTGACATCATAAGTTCATCAATTACATCTTGTGATCAGGGGCGAACTGACAACTCATGGGGCCCCCGGGCAATAGGGGATCATGGGGCCCCTGTGTCCTTGCCCAAACTCAAAAAAGCCTATGAAAAAGGTACCAGGGGCATCTCATGGGGCCCTCAACTGACCCTGGGCCATGGGGCAGTGCCCGAGTTTCCAAATGGTCAGACCGCCCCTGCTTGTGATACATTTGTAAGACAGTCATCATATGCATATACAGCCCACTGGATGTGCAGTAATGTACATACAGTATACCGTGCTGAGCCAAGCTGGCTCAAAACAAATGTCCCTATGACATTAATCTGTCAGCCCGCTGGATGTGCGGTATATACAGTATACTGAGCCAAGCTGTTTCAAAATGTACCGGTACGTCCCTACGGTAATCAGACCGCTGGACGTGTGTATGTGCAGTAGCTGAGGCTACATACAGTATATGCTGGGCCAATCACGGCGAGCGATGTATTCTACTAATGAATTCAAAGCCTGCTCGGATTGGCTGAGGTTGTGACATCATCAGCCCACCTCTCTGACTCAGCCAATCCGAGCAGGCTTTGTATTCATTAGTAGAATACATCACTCGCCGTGATTGGCCCAGTGTATACTGTATGTAGCCGCAGCTACCGTACATACACGCATCCAGCAGGCTGATTACAGTAGGGATGTACCGGTACGTTTTGTATTTCAATGGTTTTTATTAATTTTAAACCGTATAAAACAGAGGCAACAAAACACACCCACGCAGGGGCTATCAATTGCACCTATAAAAAAGGCATAATAGAGCAGACAACGCTCTAATTCCAATAAGGCAAAACGTATGCCCACGCAGGGGCTATCAATGGCACATAGGTTACAATAACATCAATAAGACTCTGACTATCGCAACTAAAGACAGTTGTCCACTGTCACATCAAAACAAACAGAAAAGGAGAGAAGAAGAACAGAGAAGAAAGGGGAAAAAAAAAACCCCAAAAAACCAAAGAGCAGGGGTCCACGAGCGCCAATACCAAACTCCATTACCTCCCCACACTGGCCGGGGGGAGCATGGGAAAGGCGTATTGCGACCACGGCTCCCATACTTTCAAAAATTTATGTTGAGAGTCGTTGCATATACTCAACATCTGTTCGTTGAGCATCATAGTAGTCATACGATCCCGCACCCCCTGGAAAAGTACAAACGGACTCTTCCAGGCCTTAGCAATTGTCCTAGTAGCCGATAAAAACAAATAGGAAGCCAACCGCTGCTGACGAGCCAAGAGGCCCGGTATGGGGCAATGAACCAAAGCATACCGAGCATCCCGGCGTATGGAGAGATGGAACAAAGTGAAAAGGAGGCCAAACACGAGACCAAAAACGAACCAATCTCGGGCATGACCACCAGATATGCAGTACATCACCACGATGGCCACAACCCCGAAAACATCGATCACTACAGGCAGGGTTAGCCTGGGCCAGACGAGCCGGAACCCAGTACCAACGGAACAATACCTTGTAGGCTGCTTCCAGCGTGGTCGTATTAAATGAACATTTAGCTATAAGTGACCAGGCCCTACTCCAGTCCTCCGGATCCACAGCCACTCCCAGGTCGCATTCCCACTGAACAACATATGAAAGAAGTGTGAGACGAGCGTCTGTTCAAAGCTGCGTAAAGAAGGGAGATAAGGCCCGGGGCGCCCGGGTGCTGCTGGCAAAGCCGTTCAAAGGCAGATTTCTGATATGGGAAAGCAGAAGCGGCCCTCAGCAAAAGTAGCCAGTGCCGCAATTGAAGGTACCGAAAATTCCGCTGGGGGAACATCCCGAGACTCCCGAAGGACATTCCAGGCGGGAAAGGACCGAAAAGTCAAAAAGTGTTGCACCTGTGAGAAACCATGAGCCACCCACCAAGAAAATGCCCTCGGGCAATCTAGACCCAGTGGGAAAAGAGGGTTGTTAACGATTGGAAGCAAGGGCAAAAAAGGGTGACATCAGGCCGCTGGAGTAACGTACCGAGTCCCAGACTTGTAGGCCATAGAGCAACATTGGATTCAGCGCCATAGGGCTCAGGGCAGGGGGAAGCCATAGGAGTGTCGACAGTGCGATAGGGGCACAATTAGGTAGTTCCAGCAGGACCAAGAGAGGAACATCGGAGGAAGCGTGCAACATAAACAGCGGGGCAATCTGGCTTGCCTGATAATACTTAGCTACATTGGGTACCCCAAGACCACCCTGGAGTCTATGAGCAAAGAGCGTATTTCTAGAGACTCTGGGGTGTTTATCGGCCCAGATAAAATGTATAAACTTCGCCTGAAGCAACCGAAGAAAGTGAGGGGGAACCCGCACCGGGAGGGTACGAAAATAATATAACAATTTCGGCAAGATGGTCATTTTTATTGAATGAACCCGTCCTATCCAAGACAGGTGCGGAAATTGCCAGGAATGCATAAGGGAAGATAATGAGCTAAGCAAAGGATAATAATTTTCAGCAAAAAGGGAGTCATAGGTGGGGGTCAAGCGAATGCCCAAGTATTCCAGAAAAGAGGAAGCCCACCGGTAAGGGAAGTGGGATTGTAGGCGCGAAGCCAAAGTAATATTGAGAGCGACGGTTTTAACCAAGTTGATACGTAGACCCGAAATCAAGGAGAAGCGCTCAAGAACTCGTTGCAAGTTAGGAAGCGTCGTCAGAGGATTAGTAAGGGTCAAGAGGGCATCGTCCGCAAAGAGGCTCAGCTTAAACTCCTGTCCCACGTATGGAACCCCCGATATATTGCAATCGGTCCAGAGCGCTAAAGCGCCAGGACAAAGAGCGCTGGGGACAGCGGGCAACCCTGCCTCGTCCCTCGCCCAACAGGAAAGGGATCCAAGAAATACCCAGCGTATTTAACGGAGGCCGAGGGAAAGGAATACAAGGCCTGAATCCAAGAGAATAGAATCCCCGAAACCCCAACGAGACAGCACAAACCGCAGATATTACCAAGATAGAGAAGCAAAAGCTTTATATATGTCCAAGGACAGTAGGAATCCGGGGATTTTCCGTTGTTGCAGAAAATGTATAAGATGGACCACCTTACGGACGTTATCACCCGCCTGCCTCCCGGGGACGAACCCTACTTGGTCCCGGTGGACCAGGCTACACAAATATTTATTGATGCGAAAACTAAGGATCTTGCCCAATATCTTCAGGTCTTCATTAAGAAGAGAAATGGGCCGGAAGGCTTGCGGTTCCTGGACATCGTCGGTCGTCTTAGGAATCATAGAGATATGTGCCCTAAGTGCGTCCGGAGAGGGCAAAGAGCCCTGTCGTAACTCATTGAAATAAGCCGCTAAAAAGGGTGCCAATAGGGCTGAGAATTTTTTTATAATAGAGACCGGAGAAGCCGTCGGGACCTGGGGCCGCGGTGGACCGCAAAGATTTGATCGCTTGGAGCACCTCCGGTACGGTGACACCAGCATTGAGGGCCGCCTGTGCTGCCTCGGTTAATCCGGGAAGATGGAGGTCTTGAAAGAATGCCTCTGCCTGGGCCACAGGGAAAGGATCTGGGGCAGCATAGAGGCGCGAAAGGAAGTCGGAAAAATCGGGAAACAATCTGCTGGGGATTAGAAGTACAGCCACCTGTGGAAAGTCGAAGTCGAATCGGTTTATGGGGTTTCCCCACAGAATTGAGTTTCCTGGCTAGCATGGGACCGGGCTTATTAGCGCAGGAGTAAAATTTATGCCTGGTCCAACGCAGGGCCTGTTCCGCCTCCGAAGAGGCAGGAGGTCCAATTCCAGAGCGTCCCGAGCGCGTTTATGGGCCACGGATGGAGATGACTTCCAACGCGCATCCGCAGAGGCCAGGAGAGAATGAAGCTCCAAGAGTCGGCGTTCCCGCTTCCGGACCGCAGCCAGCTGTATAACATGACCCCGCATCGTGGCCTTATGCGCTTCCCAAAGGGGCACTGCTGAAGAGACCGATCCCGAATTTTCCGCAAAGTATGTTCGTAAAAAGAATTCTATTTGTTGGCAGGTAGCCTGAGTGGTCAGCAAAGAGTCATTGATGCGCCAATGAAAAGGGTGCCGTTCTGACCCAGAAAGGGCAAGGAGTACCAAGGGATCATGATCTGACCAGGGTGAGGAGGGAATAGTTATCCGCCGGACCGAGGGGAGCTGCTGGACCTGCATGAATATATGATCAATTCAACAAAAACTGTCATGAGGATTGGAATAGAACGTAAAGTCACGTTCAGTTGGATGAAGTTCCCTCCAGACGTCCGCTAGCCCTGTCGTCCACAAAAGAGAGTGCATACGTTCCCTCTAGCACCAAGTCATGAGAGGGGGTCGCTCCCCGTGCGTAGCGCCTATCCAATGTGGAATCCAAGATAACATTCGAATCCCCCATAACAAGAAGACCCTTAGAGTGTCGAAACAATGGTGCAAAGATGCGAAAAGAATTTATGCTGGAAACGGTTAGGCGCATAGTAAGAGACAAAGGTAACCTTCTGGTCCCAGAGGGTGCCTTGCAGAAGCAAATACCTGCCCGTGGGGTCTGCTATATGCCTAGAACAGACAAAGGGGAGATTGCGTTTAAAAGCTATCAGAACACCCCGGCGCTTCTCAGGAGCCGAGGCCGTGTAAAAGATGGGATAGTGAGGTGAAAGATAATGCGCGAGCGGAGGACTGAGAAAACCTGGTCTCCTGTAGACATACCACATCAATTTGTTGCGATTTGAGGTGATGAAAAACTTTAGCCTGTTTCTGAGGTGAATTGAAGCCTTGAACATTTTGTGAATGTATTTTCAAAAGGGGCGAGCCATGGCGGTATCAACGCAACACGCTCAGCAGAAAAAAGCCCAAAGCAGCCAGCAATCTCCACTCCCAATGGCGATCGGACCATGGCGTCCCGGAACCCTGCAGAAAACAAAAACGAAAAAAAACAGAGAAAGAAAAGAACAAAGAGAAAAAAGGAAAGACACAAAAAGTATACACAACAGTGCAATTGTGTCACACCAATGGTGACGTGCATCCTACACATGAAGGGTACAGTTAGGGGTAACTCTACCACCGGACACATGGCTGCAAATGGAAACATCAAAACAGAAGCCCTCAGAGGGCAAAAAGGTAATAAACATAATATAATGTAGTAAAACTTAATAAAACTAAAAGTCCCAGGAGCAGGGACCTCCGCGATAACCTCCCCATAGAAACCTGGAGAACAATAGGGGCCAATC